GCATAGCGGCGGTGAGTGCCTGGGGGCTGGGGGCTCCTGGGGGCTCCTGGGGGCTCCTGGGGGCTCCTGGGGGCTTGGGCCAGCTGGGAGCGCTGGGCTGCAGCGTGGGCTGTGTCAGACACCTGTCCCTTCTCTGCAGCTGATAGACGAGCAGATCCTGTGTGTGCACGGGGGCCTCTCCCCAGACATCAAGACGCTGGATCAGATTCGAACCATCGAGCGCAACCAGGAAATTCCTCACAAAGGGGCCTTTTGTGACCTGGTCTGGTCTGACCCCGAGGACGTGGACACGTGGGCCATCAGCCCCAGGGGAGCAGGCTGGCTCTTCGGGGCCAAGGTGACCAACGAGGTGAGGACCCTGTGGGGGAGCAGGGTGGGATCAGCCAGAGGGCTCAGCTCGGTGTGACAGGCACCCAGCGATGGGGGTGAGGAAGGGTCCTTGTCCTGTCGTGGGGGTCACTGGAACAGCTGGAAAAATGGGCCACTGGACCTTAAAAGCAGAAATACACCTGCCAGACATGGTGACACTGACCTTGCTTTTAAAAACACAGTGAGACTGGCTGGTGTCACTAGTGCTGCTCCAAGGATTCGGGAGAAAAGCTGCTGTGCTGGGGAGGCTGCTGGGACACACTGACCCTCTCCTTTCCTTCACAGTTCGTCCACATCAACAACCTGAAGCTCATCTGCAGAGCACACCAGCTTGTTCACGAGGGCTACAAATTCATGTTTGACGAGAAGCTGGTCACAGTGTGGTCAGCTCCAAACTACTGCTACCGCTGCGGGAACATCGCCTCCATCATGGTCTTCAAAGATGTAAATACAAGAGAACCAAAGCTGTTCCGGGCAGTCCCAGACTCAGAACGTGTCATTCCCCCTAGAACAACCACCCCCTATTTCCTCTGAGCCCCCCTGCCTGCTGTACCCTCCCCGTACTGCCCCTTTACAATATACTTTTTATGGAGCACTTTGCTGCTGAAATGCTGCCTCTTGCCTTTTTTAATTTTAAATTATCTAAATTTATTGTGTATTATGGTGTCTGTAGCAAGTTATTTTTTTTTCCTCCCTTTACCCTAGATTAATTTCAGAGTATTTGTACTGTCCCTGACACTGATACTACTGCCTGTAGTTCCTGCGTGTCTGGTCCGGTGAAACCTGTTCCCCCCCGGGGCCTGCCCAGCTTTGGTTTTGGGGAGTTTTAAGAGATTTCAGCAGCAAAGTCCCTGCCCGTGTGCGGGGCCGCGGGTACGAACCGAGCGCTCAGAAGGGCTGTTCCCCGCCCCTTTGTCTCCGTAGGCCCCGCGGGGCACAC